ATGTTTGTAATCTGCCCACGAAACATTGTTATATATCGATGCGATCTTCGGACGTAACTCTCCTGCGAAACACGGAGTATGGTGGAGAGGAAGGCGAACAGAGATGGGAGCCCGGCAGGGGTTACTTAGCAAGATCGCGGTGGCAGGTTCTGGTGGTAGTAAACAGAGAGAAAGAGAGAGAGAGAGAGAGAGAGAGAGAGAGAGAGAAAGAGAGAGAGAGAGAATGAGAGAGATAGAGAAAGAGAATGAGAGAGAAAGAGAGAGGGGGGTTGGTCATCGTTAGATCAAAGTGGAAAGAGAGAAGCTTCCTGGAAAATGGGGAAGGAAAAAAAAATTGCGGAAAAATCATGTCTTTGAGGTTTGGTGCATTAATTTCTTGGGATTTATTTTCTGCGGTTTGACTTTTTTTTTTCTTTTTATTTCTGTTCTTTTGTGGTTGATAGAAACGTCGACGCCGGAAAAAGGGATGGCGGGAATTTCTTTATTTATTCAGGTGGTGGCGGCGAAGAATCGATGAGCGATGGCAGCTTGAGAATAGGAAAGACAGATTGTTTGAGGTTTTATTTCGATACAATCTACAATGACTGCAGTCGTTTCCTTAAAACATATGTGTGTTACAAAACACACAAACATATAACGTATGTATAGGTGCGCGTGTGTATGTATTATACATATATATAAATATATTAGTATATATATATATATATATATCTATGATACCTACATTGATTGCACAACCTATATTTATTCATTTGATTATACACACACACACACATATATATATATATATATATATAGACTATAATATATTGTATATGTATAATACACAAGGCATCAATTATCATATCTATTTATCTATCTATGTATATATGATCTTCGATGTATTTACACAATAGCAAGCATTCGCAAAACGTAATTTTATTATTGCGTATATAAATGGTATAGGAAAAATATCATATTACCATTTATGTTATGATATATATTTTCACAACCTCCATATATATATATATATATATATATATATATATATATATATATATATATATATATATAATGTTCACATTAGTTTGTAAATGTTTGTCAATACGGAGTGTAACAGCAAAATTGTCCAAATCGTGTTACAGCATAATTGTCCAAATATTAAATGTTAAATATCTGAAATTTTACTAAACTAATTGAGATTCTTTTTTCCAGGTATTCAGATAAGACGTTTAGCCATCTTGATACCATTTTTTCGCAAGATTCACTTAAAAATCCTTTATGTTATTCAGCTAGAAATAGAACAAGATAAAATCGTTTTGTTTCAAAATCGTTTTGTCTTCCAAACTGAGGAATGGTGAAAGGAAAAAGTTCATTTAGGCCTACATCTAATAGTGCCAGCATTCATACTCTGGCTTCCATTCTCAAAGTCTTTTCAAGAACCATCAAGAGAACGGTGAATGAGTTCAAAAAAAAAAAAAAAAAAGAGGAAAAGGGAAAAACTTGATCAGGAGGTCACAATAGGAAGAGGGATCATCGTTTCAACTTGGAGTTAACGAGATCAGTTAGAAAATATCCAACTCAGTCATAAGACGTTTGGCACGCGAAGGAGGAGTTTCAGCTATGACAGTCCAAAGAGCCCTGAAAAAAAGACTTGAAAATGAAATCGTACGTGAAACGTGTGAAGCATCTTGTTACTCCAGAACAGAAAGGTAGTAGTTTAGAGAGGGCGAAGATCATCTTGAATAAGTTGAGAAATCATCCTGGAATATATATATATATATATATATATATATATATATATATATATATGAATTTTATGTCAATACGTCAGGCCTGACGATTGTGTCTAGCATGAAACAGCATGTCTCCTCTGAGTGTTGACTTCAATGTTCACTTTTATATTTATATACGCTCTATCTCTGATATTAAGCACTTTATCACATAAATATAGCACACCTTAAAACTATATTTCTTTATATATATATATATATATATATATATATATATATAGGTAAAATGAGAACGAATGGAGAATAATTCCATTGTTCATAACATTTAATTTAAAAGAGGACTCAATACAAAGTAGAGCCAAATATTATTTATTTTCGGATATTAAAACAAAACAAAAAAAACATGGTAAAATCGCTACATAATTACAATTATGTTTCAACACTACAAATGTGTCTCCTCGGGCAATAGTAAGTTACTCATTCGGATCAATTGTCTCTATCTATGAAGAACTTTCGGTATGAAGAGTTGAATATAGCAATATTCACAAAATAAATTATAACCGAAACGGATCTTTAAGTTTTTTTTTTTTTCTATATATATATATATATATATATATATATATATATATATATATATATATATAATAATCGACTCTCCTGTCGAGATTCGACGTATGAGTGTCAAGCAGATCAGTCTCCAGGAAACCGACAGCCCGACACCAGCACATGAGATTTAATTATAGTGGTGAAGGCCTCGTGCAGGACCAGCCACACTTTTGAATGGACGAAACAGAGACCTGGTGCACCGAGTGCCACAAGGTTCCTAAAACCACCCTCCGCAGGTTTTGAATTCAGAGTTGTCCTATATATATATATATATATATATATATATATATATATATATATATATATATATATAATTCATAGTCAGTACGGTTTCGGTGTATAACACCTCCTCAATGCGATTAGACATCTTTTTTAAACATATGTATATTTAGATATTCGTCTATATTTGAAATTGTACAAATCTCTGTGTCTATCTATGGATATAAATATAAAATATTGTACAATGAATACTGGTGGCAATAAAAGTGTTCGATGTAAAGTAACAAAGTAAATGTATACTATTAATAATATCATCTGGAGTATCATTGCCTGACTTTTCACCGAGTCTCTATTGAGTGATATGCATATAACTCCACCCATGTTTTCTGCCATCATCACTAAACTGGATCCACACAAAGCATAAAGACTTGATGGTATCCCAACAATATTCCTGAAGAAATGTGCTCCTGAACTGGCACCTAATTCTCTCTAAACTCCACAATAAATATCTTGCTGCTTCTTGCTTCCCTGCTTGCTGAAATCTTCTGCATTTCCAGCCTTTAAGAATTCGGGGAAATATTCATTCTATCAATCAGCCTACTAGCATTCTAGCTTTTTTTTTTTGGCAAATTACTAGAAGCTCTAATCAACTCTGAATTGATTGAGCATATCACGCCACCTCCCAGCGTCTTGTTTCCGATAAGCAATATGACCGTCGCCTCTCTAGGCCAATACAGGTGTTCCACAGAGCTCTATCCTTTGACCTACTTTATTCCTGATTTTTATTAATGACCTTCCTAATGTCAACAGTTCTCAACTCGGTATGTATGTTGATATTTAGTCCTATGTTATTTGTAAGTTTGGTCGGTTCGATAAGTTCATATTGACAGCTGATCTAAAAAAATGACGTTCATTCTATTGTTAACTTGGGCAAGGAATGGCTGGTTAATTTCAAGGTTTCTAAAAACGAAATCACCCTCTTTTAATCGTCTCAGAGAACACGTTTTACCTTTTATCAACATGGCTGATGCTAACCTCCAGGAAAATGACATTGTGCCTTCTCGGACGAACGTTTTCCGCTGACATGAATTAGGAAAATTATACTGAATCAGTTATAGGTTTTCTCCTAAGAAGGTTGGTTCACGGTTTCGTACTAAAATTTTTTTTTTACCTGAATCTATCTTACATATTTATAAGTCTACCATTCACCCTTGTTTTGAATATTCCTGCCACATCTTGTCTGGCACTGTTATATGTAGATATGTCGTTATTTGCGAGTTCATTTGTATTATAGTTACAATTATATATGTATATCTTTCCTTCCTTGGGTAATCATGTCTCATTTTTAATTCATAACTATCTTGACAGAAGAATTCGCGCAGCAGGTTGCTGTTACTTTCTGTGGTAGTCTGGTTGCCATCTACAGTTACAGGGCAACAGTCTGTTCTGCTATTTAACACATAGCTTAAGGGAGAAGATATGGATTCCTAATGGTATTTGAATGCAACGAACTCGACTAGAATTCGAATCTCGCTCTCCGAATTCTCATTCAGGGCCGTTATCCATCGCACACGCAATACTTCAATGCTTATAGTACCTGGTATTCCGATGCGGTCCCTAATGTACGTAATGACCAGGTTCAACGTTGCCTAACTTAGGTGATCGTACAAGAACTAGTATTTCAACGCGATAGGGACGTAACGAGAAAATTGACAGACATTTGCTGATACCTCCTGAATTACACAAAGGTTCGTCAACCAAACTTTAGAGTGGAATAGAAGTTCTAAATATAACATCAATCAGCTAAATGAGAAATTATATATTTGTATTATCCCTTTATATATATATATACTATGTTTATAATAAACAGTATTAACTACATTTACTGGCCTGAATGTCCGAGAAACTTCATAGAAAGTATGTGTCCTCCGACAGGAATCGAACCTGTTTCCTATAAGGAAGCGTCATATAGCCTGACGTGCTATAAAATTTAGTTACCTATTTCGGAGAACACACACACACACATATATATATATATATATATATATATCTCTTAAGATACACACACAGTTTGTTAATATATATTTTTTATTGATATCCATCTATCTATTTATTTATTTATCAATCAATCTATCTAAGTCTGTTTATATATAGCTATTTAGCGAAGTTTATTCATTTCTATCTATCTATCTATGTACAAAAATGTTCAAGAAGAAAAACATTTCTTCCTTATTTGTAAATATTCCATTCGTGTTATATATTCAGTTCCAACAAAGGCTCTTAGGAAGCTACCCGCCTTGTGTATTCTCGCCGCCACCCACTCAAAAAAGAAGAAAAAAGAAAATACAGAAATCCTAAAAAAACATATTATGAACAAAATCAGGCTCATCATGGCACACGTGTATTTTTCTCACCATTCCGCTCATTCCTCCTGAACCACTGCTGGGATAATTTTGTTTCTATTCATATTTTCAACGCATTCGTCGTTATAAAGCTGACTAACAAACGAGTTGGCGGTGACATTGTCTCGGGGAAGATTTGCTGGACATTTTTGATATTTGTGCGTGAAGTCAAACTGATGTAAGAAGAGAGGCCACAAAAACAAACAAATAAAAAACGGAAAATAATAAGAAAAATAAAAAAGGAAAAAAACATGGCCGCCAAAAGTTTTGTTGTGCGCGGGAAGAGAAAAGAGCGGGAAGAAAAGCGAAAGAAGCAAAAATGGGCTGAAATGAATCGGTTGAAATAGGAAGAAAGTTGCAAAATAATGCTAATGATGATTAAAAAGAAGAAAAAGAAGAAGACGACGAAGAAGAAGAAGAAGAAGCTTAAGACGAAGAAGAAGCAGACGTTGACAATGTAAGTGAAGAAGAAGAAGAAGAAAGAGGAGGGGGACATATGGTAGTTAAGTTGGAAAGAATGAGAATTTAACAGGGAGGAAGAAAAATTCAAAGAAGAACAACAACGAAGCAATGAAATGGTAGATGATGAAAGAGGAAATAAACAGAAGAAAGAAAATACTAAATAAGAAGAATGAAGAAGAAAAACGAAAGTGATCGTGAGAAAAAGAGAAAGAAGTAAAAAAAAGAGAGGAAAAGAAGAAAGAAATGAAGTAATAACGAAGTAGATCTAGAAGAAGAAGAAGAAAGAAGAAGAAAGGAAAACAATAAAAATAAGAAAGAAAAAGAATGAAGATGGATGAGAACAGAAAAATCAGAAAAGTAGTGAAATGGAGGGTAAACAGAAAAGAATGAAAAAGCATAAAGAAGAAAATTATGAAAAAAGAAATGAAAAAAAGCATAAGAAAGACAAAAACTAAATATGAATGAAAAAGAACGAAATACTAAAATAACGAAAAGTGAATGAAAAAGAAGAAGGAAAATAGGCGAGACGAAAATAGTGAAAAGAGGAACTAAAAAGAATAGGGTTGACGAAAATAAAGAAAAAAGAAAGGAAAAAGAAAAAAAGAAAGAAAAGGAAGAGGAAATATGAAAATAAAGAAGAATAAAAAATAATATCGAAGATGAAAATTAAAAAAAAAAAAAGAATGAAAAAAGAAAGGGAAGATAAAAATTAGGACGGACGAATAAATATGTAGAAGAAGACAATGAGGACAAAAGTAAGGAAGGAGAATACGGAAGGAGAAAGAATTAAAAAAGAAAAGGAAAAAGAAAATAATGAAAAAAAAAAAAAAAAAAAAAGGAAGGCGAAGAAAAGCAACCAAGGAAATAGGGAAAGAAATAGGGTTGATGAAAAGAAAAATGAATTGAAAAAAGTAAGCAATATGAAACTAACAGAAAAAAGGATAAAAATATATAAGGGAGACAAAAATAACAGAAAAAAAAGGATGAAAAAGTATAAAGAAGACGAAACTAACGGAAAAAAAGAAGGAAGAAGTATAAAGGAGACAAAACTAACGGAAAAGAGAAGGAAAAAGTATAAAGGAGACAAAACTAACGGAAAAAAGGATGAAAAAGTATAAAGAAGACGAAACTGACGGAAAAAAAGGATGAAAAAGAATAAGGGAGACGAAACTAATGGAAAAAAGGATGAAAAGTACAAGGGAGACGAAACTAACGAAAAAAAAAAAGGATGTAAATGTATAAAGGAGACGAAACTAACGGAAAAAGTATGAAAAATGTATAACAGACGTAACTAACAGAAAAAAAAGGATGAAAAATACAAGGGAGACAAAACTAACGGAAAAAGGATGAAAAAGGTAAAACGAATACGAAACTAATGGAAAAAAGGATGAAAAGGTATAAAGGAGACGACCCTTAGGAAAAAAGGATGTAAAAGTATAAGGGAGACGAAACTAACAGAAAACAGGATGAAAAAGTAGAAGGGAGACGAAACTAACAGAAAAAAAGGATGAAAAATAAAAGGGAGACGAAACTAACGGAAAAAGGATGAAAATGTATAAGAGAGACGAAAATAACGGAAAAAAAGATGAAAAGTATAAAAGAGACGAAACTAACGGAAAAAACGCTGAAAAAATATAAGAGGAAACTAACGGAAAAAAAGATGAAAAGTATAAAAGATACGAAACTAACGGAAAAAAGGCTGAAATAAGAGGAAACTAACGGAAAAAAGGATGATAAAGCATAAAGGAGACGAAACTAATGGAAAAAAGGATAAAGTATAAGGGAGACGAAACTAACGGAAAAAGGGTGAAAAGTATAAGGGAGACGAAGTTAACGGAAAAAGGGATAGAAAAGTATAAAGGAGACAAAACTAATGGAAAAAAGTATGAAAAATGTGTAAGATAGACGAAACTAACAGAAAAAAAAGATGAAAAATACAAGGGAGACGAAACTAACGGAAAAAAGGATGAAAAAGTATAAAGAAGACGAAACTAACAGAAAATGGATGAAAAAGTATAAGGGATACGAAACTTCACAACAATGGCGTCGCCGATAGGATATCATTTGTCTCTGGAAGATCCAGATTTTGTGGATACATGGATTTGTTGTTTCGCTGCCACTGCTAGAACAAAAAAGTTGAAAGACAACAAGGAAAAGGGAGGCGAAAATGAAATCACGGATTTATTTTTGGCTACAGCTGGATGCGAGGCGATAATGAAAGTCTCCACCATGGCATATCCCTTAGATTTGGAAGACCTGACTTTCGAAAAATATGTCACATTATAAGAAGAAATATGAGACCCAAGAAAAGGCTGGTAGTGGCAGAAAGAACGAAATTCATGTCGATGAAACAAGAAATTGACGAACCAACTATAAAATATTTACACCGTCTACGAAATGCAAGTAGATATTGTGAATTTGAAAAACTTGGACAAGACGAACAGACTATTGAAGAGGACTTGATTCAATTAAGATTAATTGAAGGTATGTGCAATTCATTACACCAATATAAAATAATGGAACAATTACAAATAGGAAATATGTCTTTAAATACATGTATGGACTTTATTCAGCAACAAGAACTAATACAGAAATACAACCATCATAAAAGTCAGACCGGCGAACAAATATTCGCCGATACGTAAATGTTAAAGAAGATAAGAAAATGTTCGTACTGTGGACGTGAACACGAAATAAAAAAGGAAAAGTGTCCAGCATTTGGAAAAACTTGTAATAATTGCTTAAAAAGAACCACTTTCAAGCAGTGTGTAAATTAAAAAAGAAAATGTTGAAAGAATTGAAGAAAACGACACCAATAGGAAAGTTTTTACATTAAAAAATAAAAATATAAAAATAATTGAACATAAGAAAAAAGACATTATAGTAAAGGTCAAAATTAATAACTGCAATTTAGATATGCAAATGGATACTGGGAGTGAAGTAACACTCATACCAAAAAATTTTTGGGAACGCATTGGAAAGTCACCTTTACGAAAGAGCAGTTTACAACCCCGCCAATTTGATGGGTCGGTTATAAAAACATTAGGATACTTTGAAGGTTCCTTAGAGTTAAAAGACACATTTGAAGTAATACCTATTGTTGTTACAAGTTGCGAAAAAAACCACGGGCTTATAGGAAATGACGTGCTTAACATAAATTCTACTAAGTTGATTAATGAAATAAAAATGGAAAAAAACTGGAAAGTTAAAAAACTATGAAGCAAGTTTAAAAGTAAAAGAAAAATGTTCCCCCCTCTTATTATGAGGCACGAAAATTACCAGTACATTTATTGCCATTAGTAGTGGCAAAACTACATAAATTAGAACAAGAGCTTCTTGAACATGTTCCGCCTGGAGGTAGCAAGTGGGCATCACCGATTGTTGTGTTGAGGAAAACAGATGGTGATTTACGTATTTGTGGCGATTACAAAATAGAAGTAAATCACAAGATATGCTCGGATTCATATCCCATACCCAATGTTGAACTTGCATTACATGCACTGGCAGGGATGACCGTTTTTTCAAAAAAGATTTAAAAACGGCATACCACCAAATATCAATAGACGAGAACTTCAAAGAAGTAACCACGATAAATACGACAATAGGATTACTAAGATGGAAAAGGATGCCATATAGAATAAAAACCGCAAGCGCCATATTTCAAGGGCCATTGAACAGGTTTTAGGAAATGTACAAAATATGATTTGTTACCAAGACGACATATGCATAGGAGCTACTAATGAAAAGGAATTAAAAGAGAAAACTGACTTAGTCTTCAATAGATTAAGAAATGCTGGAATGACAATAAATGAGAAAAAATGCATAAGCAATTGTAGTAAAATGTCTTTAGGTTATTCCATTTCAAAAGAAGATATCAGACCAAGCTTTGATAGAAAAAATACTAAAAGTAGCTACACCTACAAATAAGAAAGAACTGGAGTCTTTTATGGGATTGGCAAATTTTTTACAGGCGATACTTACCAAAATACACGGACTTGACGGAACCGTTTGCAAATTTAAGAAAAAAAGAATGTGGAATTTGTGGTCAGACGAACAGCAAAAAGCTTTTGAAAGATTAAAGAAATTATGTCAAAGAAACCTGTAGTGAAAATTTTTGATTCAAAAAAGGACTTCTCACTACAGATGCAAGTGAACATTCAATATCGGGAATATTCTTACAAGAAGGACATCCGATAATGTATTTATCGAGAAGATTAACGAACACTGAATTCAATTACTCGAACATAGAATCATTGGCTATTGTGTGGACAACTACCAGAGCCCGACAATTTTTAGTTGGGAAAAAATTTCTATTAAGAAGTGATCATAGACCATTAGAGTTTATATTTAACCCAAGGAAAGAATTACCCAAAGCCACGACATCAAGGATTCTACAATGGGCCATAAGATTGATGGAATTTGACTTTGATATAGAGTATGTCAAAGGGAATTCAATTCCACATGTGGACGAACTATCAAGATTGAAGTTCTACAAGGAGTCAAAAGACAAAACAGAGGAAGAATTTGAAGATTCATTCCTACACTTGATAGAGACTGATGTTTTGTCTTTAGACAGAATGGCTGCGGAAACGAGACATGATCCGGTGCTAAGTAGGATATTATCGAGAATAAGAAAAAACTCGTGGGGAAATTGTTCTAGGGCGGAAAGACCCTATAAAGAAATAAGACACAAATTAACAATAGAACATGGAGTGATTTGTAATGGGGACCTGGTAGTTCCCCCAGAAACACAAAGAAAACTGATAATAGAAAGTGTACATGATGATATACACTGTGGAGTAGTGGCCACACAAAAAAGGATAAAATTAGAAGCTTGGTGGCCGGGATATTCAAGAGATGTCGAGGAATATGTAAAAAGGTGTAAAAAATGTAAAGAATTAAGAAACTTTACACAAACCAAATTACATTTGTGGCCCCAAAAAGTGGAGCCATGGAGTCGTGTGCATATGGATCATGCATTCATTAATGGAGTGTGACTCTTATTAATACTAGTAGACTCCTTTTCAGGTTGGCCTGAAATAATCCGGGTTACAAACAAGAAAAGGTCTACTATAAAGCAGATTCTAAGAGTCATATTTTCCAGAAATGGCGTACCAAAAACCTTGGTATCTGATAATGCACCAGAATTTTGTGATGAAGAACTTAATGTATGGTTAGAAAAAATAGGGTGTAAACCATATAAGACACCTCCATATCACCCTCAATCGAACGGACTAGCAGAAAGGATGGTTCAGACTGTAAAAAAAGGGACTAAAAGCATGTTCCCAGCAAAAAGAAAAAAGTTTTTCTACCGAGGCTGTTTTTAAGTTATTGTACGATATCACATGCGGGAAGACTAGAAAGCCCATCAGCTTTAATGGGAAGACAGATTAGAGCTCCGCTAACGATGTCGTATTCTACAAATGAAAAAATGTGGTACAAAAAGAACAAAGATGCAGATCTGGAAAGGGCAGAATTTATGCAAAAAGGCCACAATACAGCTATAATAAATAGAGAAAACGGCAATAGTGTATTAGCCCATGCAGACCAAATAAGGACCCAGGGTGAAGAGAAAGAGCAAAACGACAATGTCTTCAATTCCGTCTGATAATGAGTTGGTAGAACAACCATTACAGAAGGAAACATCAGAAGACGAAATAATGCAGGATCAAGAGAGCCAGAATGAGTTTGAAAGTTCGGACGAAGACCAGATTATGCAAGAAAACACATATGACTACAGCCCAGCGCGGGACAGATCTAGGTCTCCCAGGGAAAGAAATACAGGAGAGAGAGAAGTAGAGCAAAGTGATGAAAATAACAGAAGGAGTACAAGATCTACGAGAGGAATAAAACCCTTAAAGTTCAGGGAGATGTAGTGATACTAGCAAATTAGTATGCATAATTTGCATAAGCATAAATGAACACTCATAAGCGGTCACTGGGAATAACGAAGGGTAGTAGTACGAGTCTAGCGGCTGACTTCAACTTCACGACAAATAGGAAAAATAAAAATAATGAAAAAGAACAAGGAAATCATTAATTATTATCTGACCGTGCAGCCATTACTGTTATCTTTTGAATTTTATAAAAATCTTTCTCTTAAAACATTTTTTTTTTTTTTTAGGAAAACAGGTTTCTCAAGTCGAGTAGCTGTTATCGCTCTTTACAGTATTGATGGAGGTTTCCTTCATCAGCTTCTGTTTGAAGTGGTGTCGTATATTAAAATCTTGTTTGTCTGTTTGTTTAGCGGCATACCAATTCCTTATGGGTCATCTAATGCCGAAATTTAATTTTTTTGGTAGCATTAGTTATTTCATTTATAAAAATGTATTGCTCGTAATTTTTTACTTACATTATTCGGACTGTTATCCTCATCTTCATTGCCATATTCCCAACCTTTCGACTGTTGTACACTCCGGCCTTCTTCAGGTGACTGGAAATTCAAACCGAACCCTTTATTTCGTCCACCGGAGAGATTGTTCTAGTTCTACGCGCCATGCCTCTTCCGGAATTCTCAGTTATTTCCCTTTAACTCAACAATCCAAGTTTTCTTTTTCACCACTGCTGTAGTCTGGTACCGAACTCACAACTCTTTGGGGCTAGTCACTGGATCTAACAAACGCCTTTATCCACTGTGCAATTTTTGTTTTTAATGCATTGCTGGTATATTTTTTTTACTATAAGAATGTATGTTTATATTAGGTTGGTGCAAAAAATAATGACGTAATAATGTCGTTTTTTGACGTTAAAACATGCATCAAAAAAACGACATTATTACGTCATTATTTTTGCACCAACCTAATACTTTCATAGTTTTAACCACATTTTGGGGGTTAACTATTTGCCCATAGCTGGGACCCTAACATGTGTTAACATCCCCGGCTCATGGTGGACCTGGGAACATCAAAAATTAAGAGGTGATTCCACGCTCCTAAAAATCTCCAGCCTTTCGATCAGAGGCCTTGCTGTAGTTTATTACCATACACACAATGTGTTAATTATTTAATTATATCATTATTTTCATTTAAGTTACATGTGATAGCCGTTCAAGTTATTGCTACTGTTAGTAGGCCGAAAACGAATAAAAAATACGAAAATAGCTGCAGCAACAGAAGACAACGACGAAGAAGCCGAAAAACCGATGAAAGAATAGGCAAGAAACAGAGCGAAAATGCAACAAAAAAGAAAGAAGAAAGTAAAAAAGTATGATATAGATTATGTTATGATCTTTCCACAACAAATAAAGTTTTCCTAGTAGTTCAAATATATCTTTGAGTTGTAACCTAGTAGTTCAAATATATCTTTGAGTTGTAACTTAGCAAACATTTCTGTTTAAATGAAACGTTTTTGTTTAAATAAAACGTTTAAATCTATGAAACGTGGGTATAAGCCTTTTTGTCACTCTGGTAGTATTCTTACCATAAAATAACATTTCTTGTTCCAATTTGTTCTTGGCCTACTTCCGACCCAATTCAACTCAGTTAAATGTCATACGTGATACACCTTTCGGCGATCATGACTCTTTCGATTCATGAATGACTACGGAGATGATTTTTCCCGCAGTAGACCGGCTAGACCTGCCAACCAAGGCTATAGGATCCTGTTTCTCCAGCTATTCTACTGAATACATAGAACTGGATAGAGTAAGAAGAGGATGGCTCTATTTCTACTCCCTATAGCTGGGGAGCAGAGATGGAGTCAGACCTTTCCCAAGGATATTTTCTCGTATGTGAATGCAACGAAGCCGGCTGGAATTCGAATTCATCTATATTCTAATTCCGAACCGATATCTAGTACACCATAACGCACATGCCCTGTTCATTTGTTTACGCAAATGAGGCACAGTGTTTTTCGGATTATCTTTGTACCTATGGATATCTGTATGCATCCGTTTATCTCGATTGATAAAAATAGCGCTCTGATCGGTCAAAATTCAGTTCTTTTGTAGTGATACTGGAGTGACCTCACCAGGAAGCGGGTCTAGGTGATGTGCTGCCCAGACCATATAGTCGCTATTAGCCATAACGACAACTTTTAAAGGTATACAGGGCTTTCGGACCGGCTTAGCTGCAACAGTTGCCGGAGGTTTGTCAGTCTTGACAGCCAACCTCCTTCGGTTTCTCGCATGGATTTACTTCCATAGCCTTTACTGTGTTTAGATATGACCGCAAAGCAAGCGGGGAGTTCCTTCGTCTCGATGTACTTTCTTCTAATGAGCTCCATATACCCGAAATATTTGAATATAGACGCATTATTAAATAACAAATAATAAATTCAAAGGACGAATATTTTCTATGACAATTTCTCGGACATTCAGGCCGGTAAATGTTATTTAATACTGTTTATTATAAACAGAGCATTTACTTAAATACTTGTATCTATAAAAAGAACGTTAAACATAAAAATGTCTTTAATAAATAAATTGTCGGACTTTGTCCATTTCTTTATATATATATATATATATATATATATATATATATATATATATATATATATATATAGTCATCCATAGACAGACTGTTTCGCTGTATCACAGCTCATCAGTGTGGATACACGCCCCGTTGCCTCTAGCTAGGATCGACAGCTGAATGAATATGTCGGGAATTCTACCACTAAGCCGTTGGCGCACGGCAGTGATGAAGGTGAATTTAAGCGTATTTATTTTTAGATAAACCCACAGTGACTGAGAGAACCAGATTCGATTTACCGAAGAGTCTTGCATTATTAGCCGCAATAGTCCCTGTTTACAAACCCACACTTCCTCCCCTGTCAGCTCAACTGAAATAAATAGGAGGTACGATGGAATAGTGGATAGAGCCGAGTTCGAATTCCAGTCGAATCCATATATTCATTTACGTGCTAATAAATACCCTTGGGAAAGGTATTAATCCTCTTTTTCTCCCTCCAGCTATGGGTAAATAGCAGAACATACTGCGTTCTTTAGTCTTGGGTGGCAACTGGTCTAGGAGAAGAACAACTCTGAATTCAAAACCTGCGGAGGGTCGTTTGAGGACCTTGTGGCACGTAGTGCACGAGGTCTTTGCATTCGGCCCTTCAAAAAGTGTGCATGGTTCTGCATAAAACCTTCATCACAATAATCAAATCATATGATCTGGTGTCTGGCTGTCGGTTCCTAGAAACCGAGCTGCTTGACCCTCATACGTCAAATACGACGGGCGAGTCTATCATATATATATATATATATATATATATATATGTAAGCAAATATATGGATATAAATCCGACGTGATCATATTTAAACAGAACGCTGATCTGTATAAAATTTCAGTTATCTGTTTGAATTAGTTGGGCTCTTATGTCCATCGTCTTTTGTGTTAAATTTTTATAAGTTATAATGTTAATTATGTTTAAATGAAAATGTCCATGAAGATGGTCTTAAATAGACCGAAACGTCCGACGTCGACTTTATTTTAACATTAATACTACATAAATGCATATTCAGATTTTTTTTTTTCTGTATTTTTTCTTTCATATATATATATATATATATATATATATATATATATATATATAGCTTTGCAGTTTTTAAATTGAACTCTTGTAAACTTGTAGGTCGAAATCGACAGGAGAGTCCTCGATAGATAGACAAATAGACAGAAAGAAAGATAGATAAGTCGATAGAAAGAAAGATAGGTAGGTCGATAGGTATAAGCCGACTGAAATAGATAGATATATATTGGTAGATATGAATAGACTAAAATAGATAAATAGTTATGAACAGACTAAAATAGATAGATCGGTAGAAAAATAGATAGATAGACAGAAAGATAGATATGAACAGGCTAAAATAGATAGATAGATATGAACGGACTAAAATAGATATGAATAGACTAAAATAGATAGAAAGATAGATCGATTGAAAGATAGATAGATAGATAGATATAAACAGGCTAAAATAAGTACATAGATATGAACAGACTACAATAGATAGATATAAACAGGCTAAAATAGATAGATATGAACAGACAAATATAGATAGATACATACGAAAGGACTAAAATAGATAGATATGAAGGGACTGAAATAGATAGATATGAACAGACTAAAATAGATAAATAGAGAGATAGATAGACAGATGTGCCTTTCATGAATATATGTTCTATTATACAGCAAGCTCTCAGTTTAACGACCCTCTCTACGCTTTAGGCTGAGATCAATTTCATTTTGGTTACAGAACTTGAAACTTTTCATGAATATTCTATTTCTGTATATCAGTCATTCATAAATTATTGACAATTACTTTTCTTTCATGACAACCAACACTTTCTTTTTTACAATTATGACTAACATAGATCTTATTTATGAGAACACATTGGTCTCCAAGATTGATTTTTAGAAAAAATTTTGAACCACCGACGAAAATATTTCAGAAGCAATAAACTCCGCAGTCAAGAAACAGAGTAAGGGTTACTTTTATTTGTTTATTATAAGTTTAACTCGTTTATCTAAGCCGTAAAAAATGGCTACCGTATATACACGGGTAGTGTATAAATTACTCTCCAGGAGTTTGTGATTTTTTTCTCCCTTTTTCTTCCTCCAGCTATGGGTAAATAGCAGAACATACTGGGTTCTTTAGCCTTGGGTGGCAACTGGTCTAGGAGAAGAACAACTCTGAATTCAAAACCTGCGGAGGGTCGTTTGGGGACCTTGTGGCACGTAGTGCACGAGGTTTTTGCATTCGGCCCTTCAAAAAGTGTGTATGGTTCTGCATAAAACCTTCATCAATATAATCAAATCATATGATCTGGTGTCTGGCTGTCTGTTTCTAGAAACCGAGCTGCTTGACCCTCATACGTCAAATACGACGGGCGAGTCTATCACACACACACACACACACACACACACACACACATATATATATATATAGCTTTGCAGTTTTTAAATTGAACTCTTGTAAACTTCTAGGTCGAAATCGACAGGAGAGTCCTCGATAGGTAGACAAATAGACAGAAAGAAAGATAGGTAGGTAGATAGGTATAAGCAGACTGAAATAGATAGATATATAGGTAGATATGAATAGGCTAAAATAGATAAATAGTTGTGAACAGACTAAAATAGATAGATCGGTAGAAAAATAGATAGATAGATAGATAGATAGATAGATATATATAAACAGGCTAAAATAGATACATAGATATGATCAGACTAAGATAGATATGAACGGACTAAAATAGATATGAATAGACTAAAATAGATAGAAAGATAGATCGATTGAAAGATAGATTTAAACAGGCTGAAATAGGTACATAGATATGGACAGACTACAATAGATAGATATAAACAGGCTAAAATAGATAGATATAAACAGACTAATATAGATAGATACATACGAAAGGACTAAAACAGATAGATATTTATCGTCTCTCAGTTACGTCTCTGTCTTTGGGCAGAGTGCGCTTTGCAGCGACTACGTCAAAGGACAAAGTCGCAACTGAGGAAAATTATACTCAGAGGTGCCTGGGGAACAGCTGCCCGATGCTGTGCCCTCTCATTGCGCCACAGAGAGGCATCAGTGTTCGCACCGAGGCCAGCGCAACTGTCGGTTGCGGAGGCTGCGTGCATTTTTGTTCCTAGCCCGGGTTTACGCGCTCGGGATCCCCACATTAAACCCACCTTGTGTTACAACCTGACCTCATAAGGCGGCGGGGTGAGTAAATACAAATATACTCGCGTATCATGCGATCTTTGAACACGTAATTTTCAAACTAATTTTGAAACTACAATAAATGGATATATAGTTTGGCCAACGGCATTTTTAATCATTTCACTCCAAGCATGACAGTAATGCTGGTAAGTGTGAAAGAATAAGAAAAACAAAAAACAAAAAGGAAACATTACTAAGGAGCGAGAACAATAAAAGAAGAGGAATCAAGAAGACATTGCATTTAATTTTTTGAAGATCAAGTTTGTTTGAAAAGCATGGCGCCGGAAGTGAGTTTCACAAGCGGGAAATTCAAGAGAAGAAATTGTTAGCATAGAACTTGCGGTTGTTTCTGGTCAATTCAACTGTAAATTAATGAGAACTTGGCTCCAATCTAGTACTGCGCTTAAATTCATAGAGTCTAGGTACCATAGTGAAAAATAATATTTATTTTGAAAATACAAAAATGTGGCACAAGGCCAAAAAGAGGGAAAGCTGACCTTCAATCTTATCTTGTCTTATCTTAAACCTAGCCACGATTACAAATCCAAACATACTACAGTATTCCTTACACCAAAACAACACATTGTTACTTACCATTATTACTACAGCCACCATAATACCTTAATCATTCGTCCGATTTTGTTTGTATGGCAATGTCATACTAGTCAAAAGCAGAAAGCCTACTGCCGCTGCTAGTAAACAGAGCATGTTTAAGCTTGTGGCTTGGCTACAGGAAGGTTCATAGTCTTGGAAATACTTGTAAAAGCTAAGTACTGAGGTTACATCATACAAAAGACTGAATTAGATAGCTAAAATTATAGTGTAATGTCTCAACAAACAAATCCACGTCCCTATCAGTCAATCCAATGAGGTGACCGTTCAAACTTACTTGAGCCTGGGCGTTGCCTTACATTCGTTTTGGAAGACGCACGTATTTTTCAGGATATTTTTTAGGAAAAATGTGCGTCTTATGAAAGCCGGAAAATACGATATATATATATATATATATATATATATATATATATATATATATATATAAAATAAACCCTATTTAAACTCGACTATGTCTCTCACATCAGTCCTCGCTACCCTCTCTGTTAAATTACATAAACTTAATACTACCCGTCAAAAGTGTGACTTTTCATTTCATCTTTCGTTTCATTGTTTGGAAGTGTTATCTGATGATCCAGCATTCCTTAAAAAGGGCTCTGGGGAAATAAATTATTATAATGGAACCTTAAAGTGGTTTGTTTTTCTTAAATAAATAAATAAATAAAATATATATATATATATATATATATATATATATATATATATATATATAGTATTTACCTGCTTATAGGATGCGTTTTTTTCTAAAACAATGCACCAAAAATTACCCTGCGTCCAATACAGCAGTATCATGTATGAGAGGAGCATGAAGGCCGTGATAAAGTGAATTTCACCCAGAATCAGTGCACGTATAGGGATTAGTTATGGACCTAGGACACCTGGAAGGGAACAAAGGTGATATCAATAAAAATATCCTGAAAACTTCACCCAAGAAATTAAATAATCTATTGAATTGCACAATATTTTGATGCTTGTTTTGTAGAAAAACCACATTTTACAGAAATATTTGCTATGACTTGTATATTGCTGCTTGCGTTGTGTCTGTTTTTTTTTTGTTGATATATGGTTATTTGAATTTGTATTTCTACATATATGATATGGGAATTCATTTACGAACAAGTACCATATTTTTTTTTGTCTATTACAATTTGATACCATCAGATTTCTTGGTAGTTATTCTGAAGTTGCTGTATGTGAAGATGTTGCTCCCTGAAAAACAACCAAAATTTTTTTTCAATAAATGCATGATGAAATGTACTTAATGTAGTTAAAGCTTCTATTAAACAAAAAGAACCAGTAGTATCAGATAGTTATGTGCCACACGTGATATACGCTTAGGCGATCACGTATCTTTCGATATATGACTGACGAGGCAGATTTTCCTCGCAGTAGGTTGGCATTTCTTTCTTCGGTAAACCAGTTGTCATCTGACTCTATAGAACCCGGTCTGTCTTGCTATTTACCCATATTTGGGGGGAGCGGAAGAAGAAGAGGAGTCATACCTTTTAAAAGGGTATTAGCACATAATTTGTGCTAATACTGTAAAATCTTTTCGTCATGGTTAGTGAGAATGTCACATAAAGGTAAGGTTATAATTTTGAATTTTTGAATTATTTATATATATATATATATATATATATATATATATATATATATATATATATGATAGCTCTATCTCTGATATTAAGCGCTTTTTAATAAGTACCATGCATATAAATATAAATAAATATATATATATATATATATATATATATACACACTTTTTCACACATATATATATATATATATATTTCGATTATAGGTGCAGTTTAATTTATAATTACGTGAATCATTCATACAAAACATTAACCTCTATATTTGTTTTTGTATGAATGATTCATGTAATTATATATATATATATATATATATATATATATATATGTTTATACATTCTTTTATAGATACAAATATTTAAGTAAATGCTCTGTTTATAATAAATTCGTACCTGTATCCTATACGGAACCGTCATATAGCCTGACGTGCCTTTCAACCGATTCGGCCACAGAGGATCGTTCGGTTAGAGAGCCTAGCTATTTAACCAATAGCTGCGGGTGAAAATAGGATTTATACCTTTGTCAAGGACATTTGTGAAAAAGTGAACACAGCAAACTAGTTCAGAACTTGAATTCAGATTGCTAATTCCACATTACCTGCTAGTAACTGTTATACGATCTGCACTTGGGCTGATAGTGACTCTTATTATACTATACTGAATTCTTACTTAGACATGCATCTTCTTTGTTATAAAGTCTAATCTTGAAAACTGTAATGATAAAAGATATA